CACTAACTGGCATTAAGAGCTCTTTGGAAAAAACTTATATCTGATCACGTTTTGCCATCGTTTTAACTTTGGGGAGTTCACGTTACTCTAGGCGACTTCAGATGTTCGTTCCATATTGAATTCTCCCAGAGAACGAATGTCACTGTGTCTCTGTACCGAAACGCTGCTCAAAAACCGTCTAAACGCCTGAAATCCTTGATAATCGTTTCTTCTGACTTTCGACTTATAGGTCATAATGATTGCATCCATGCTATATCCCAAAAGAATAATGTGCTTAGTAAACAGACTTTGAGTCTGTTAGGGTTACAGTGGTTATTGTTTGTACCTATACATATTCACTTTGTGCTTCACTTTGAAGTGACGGTTGCTCAGTGACAATACAAATAAAAATACCATAAAACTTAACCTTCTCGCGATATGAGAATCGGTGTAATGAGATTGTACTAAGAGCCATAACATTCTGCTCATGTACTAGCATGGCTTTTTTGTCGTATCATTAAGTATTCCACAACAATCTGTGAAGCCGCAGAGGTTCATTATCGGTCACGCTTAGAATTGTGTGAAATACTATTCCACTGAAGGTTTCTGTAGTCCTGGACAGTGTGAGATCTTTTTGGTTATTACTTGAGTGGTTACTTTGCTCTTAAGGTCACCAGTGGTTATGGGGCTAACACCATATGCGAGGCAACAGTTGCATTCATCAACAACAGTGAATTGATGCTGTTTCAGGATAAATAAATCCTCACTGTTTTTAGGAAACAAGTTCTGTAACTGGAAGTGGTCTTCAGATTATCACATTTTTGCGCCAGCACCCGCCGTCAGCAACCACAAAGACGATTTTAAAATCATGTAGATGTAAAGTAGTTTCCGGTTTCACTGTTTGTCTCTGGCTCCTTTTGCAATCGTGTAGACAATGAGAAGTCTTGCAAATCAAACATACGTTTGACTACGATTGGAAGCAGCATACCAAAACACAAACTTTAACCATGTGAGGTGACACATACATTGAGCAGAAATGAAAGTTATCATATTGACGTGTGCCCTTATGAGTACTACAAAGAGCAAATCAAGAACTGACAACACAAATGCCGCACAACACCAGGCATTGAATCTATTGATGACAGAGAAACAAATAATATGCCTCCTCAAGAATCATTTGCCATTGACGCACATCCGGGAGAATGTTGTATGAAATTCATGCCTGTGGTGAACATTTTGGCCGAGAAAAAAACCCGAAATATTCGCAGTTTTGAGGAAAATCAAACATTTGGAAAATTGAAAAAAGTGAATATCTCTGACTATGTTTCCCGATGCTGAGAACGATTGAAATTTCATACAGTTTTTACTAAATAAACAGCACAAAAGAGCATATTTCTTACTGTTATATGCAGGACTAGCGTCGGCTTACACACAATTTTAAATAACGCATAAAAGCAGATACCTTATTTGTCACTTATACAGCCAGCTGCTCAGCAGAACAAACCACTTGTTTGGTTAACCTTTTGTTAATCTTCATCGCTGGCAACCATTAATCACATTGCTCCATGCAGTAGTTGGCATCGCTCTGAAACACTTGATTGGGATTTCAGAACATTAAGCTCCCCTCCCTTAGTGTCTGCCATGGCTTACGAGCATTGGCGTCGGTGGCGCATCGGTTAGGACTCTCGCTGAACATGCAAATGGTCAGGGGCTCGATCTCCTACCGACACACACCTGATTTCAATTGGTCGGCCTGCAAAATTTGGGCTACCGATATCACATACTGAAAATTCCATACTTGTATCAGGCTATAATAAAAAAACGGATCATCTGGTCCGGTATAACTATTCAGCTTGAAATCACGAAGACCCTAGAGAGTAGACGTGTTGTGGGACGACTTCCCTGAATTGTTACACTTGAGAATAGTTACAGTACCCTTGTCATATCCTTCAAGAAACCCTTTGATACATCAGTAAGACTTGGCATTGATTCCAGTCAAGCCATATGACAGATCGTTCATACCTTAGTACATCCAAATTACTGCCACTTGTTTCGGTGCTTTTTTTCACCACGAGAACAACCATTTTTCATGAAACATTTGCAAATTGTTAGTTAGCTTTTCTTAACGCTTCTCGAATATTCATAGCTAATTTTAAGGAATAATAGCCGTTTTTATAACATCCAAACCTAAGCAATTCAGGTTTTTGTGGAACCTTGGCAGTCTAACCAACACTTTACTTACTCTTTCTACCTACTACGTAATTTATTTTTTGGACACGTGTCTCCATTAACATCCTATTTCATATTACGCAACCCTCGTCTATACTTACTAATCTTCATCCCACAGTTACAATTTTGATTATTCATCAAATTTCAGGGGCATTTTGATGACGTAAACAGTAACCCTAACTAATTTTTATTTTACATTTGGTTGGCAGCCCCAATGTACACACACAAAATAATTACATACAAATGCGACTGTGTGACGAACTGAATGAATTCATCGAAAAGAGACTTCGCTGAACTTTGTTGTTATTATATTCGAGTCCAAAAATCATCCGAATTGCCGGGAGAGCCTTATGACTTTGCCCTCTGTTCAGAAACGCATTTTCTAGGCTACCAGAAAATCTTCTCACCATCTCGGCCAAAGCGTATTAACTCTGGTTAAAACCTTGGAAGTCATTTAAAGCCTGGCAGCATTTTCTTGGTGTGAGCATTCGCATTTGTATTTCATACTCATGGTACTTTAACGTCTACTTTCGGCAGCTTCCTTTGAAAAGTGAAACAGATTGATTCAGCACACTAACTATGGGGCGAGAGCAGCTGTCGGTGACCATCTGGACTTTCTTTTCCCCGGAGCCTGTGACATAGGAAACCGCATGGCAGTCTACAACATCGTGTTCGGTTGTCACATCTTTTACGGCCTTCCTGTTTGTAAACGAGTCAGTTTTCGCAAGCCAGGTCCCTTTACTTCAAACAGTCCTTGTATGTGCACTTGATGGGATTGCGAAGGTATGAGGCTATAATGACACAATATGGAAACTAAAGATTGTTCAGCCAAAATGTAAATGTATATGCATACTTTAATATTCGACAGAAAACATTCATTACAATCAGTATTAAAGTCATTACAATAATCATAAATCTTAGGTGAGCATGCATTGAAAAGCTTCAGAAAGTTTAGCTTTTAGTTCTGGCCTACCAGTCAATATGGGCTTCATCTGACTGCGGTAATGTACACGTAAATGATACTCATTCTTCACGCCTCGCAGTTTAATCACACATTGTGATTTGCCAATAGGCACAACGTAAAACCAAAGGGCCTTGTGAATTTCAGGCAACGCGGGTATTAGGGGAAGTTGAACTGGACTTGGATTAACCTGATTAGGTCACGTGTTACCAAGCAATCAAAAGTACTAGCGACTGGCCTCTCACTTACACGGCGAAATTCAGTTATCATGGTGTAGTGCGAACATGTAGCATGGGTGAATATATATACATGTAAAGGGTTCAATCTGTAAACTGTAGTCGGACTGGATGAATTAAATTGCAGTCTTGATTAGCCAGTTCACCTCGTATGTTTTAAATACAGGTCAATTTTAAATGCTAATCACTGCAGACTGGATATGGATTTGAAGACCATTTCAACAATACGCATCATTTAACAGTTGAATTGTAACCATCATACTGCCTCGCTTACCACATTATTATAACCTCCGAAATCTCAGGCGATGTTAAAAAAACCGATTCTGAAAGTGAATAGTCCATTATTATTCTCCATCCAGTTCGAAGCGACCGTAAATTTTTTATATTTCTCATTATTAACACAACCCATACCTGCCATATGTTTTGGAAAAATTTTGCTTTCTGGGATGATCTTGGTGTTTGCATTCCTATACTTTCGACGCTTTTTAAATCAGGTATGTGAGACATTATCACTAAAAGAGAAGAGCCACTCAAGTTAAAATTTAGTCCCACACTTTTGCTGTTCATAAACTGAGGTTTGTCATTGAATCGATCATTAAAGTCTTCTCCAAAGAATACCATCAAAAAGAAAAGGCATCCAAGATTTGCTAGGAAAAGATTTGTACTTATGGTCCAGACGGAGGGCATCCTTCATCGGACTTCATGCGAAGGTGAACTCACCCACATTGAACGGGTGTCCTTCGTAAGTTATGTAAAGCTCTTTATGGCTCTCTGTAATGGTGTACGAAAAACACAAAAGCATTATAAAGTGTTAATTGTGACATTTCTCGATAAAATCCCACAGAGTATGTGTTCTTTAGGGAGGGGATCTTAGAAAGGCGAAGATTTCAGATGGATTTCACGGAGGAGCACTGTCAAAGGGACCAAAAATAAGTGCTGTCCTTTTTCCACATCGAATTCACTCCCTTTGGCATGCACTGCAGTAGGTCATGGCTACTGTGTTAACACTAGGTGAAGGGTAATGGCCATTCAGCTCCACATTGACTGAAAATGTCATCATCAATATATTTTGCACATTTTAGTTAGTATAAGACGTAATCATCTTCTTGAGTTATTTCTCACTGTTACTCATTTTCACCTCAATCCTCCAAGTGCATGCATTCCATTTTTGGCATTGAATTATCTTTTCGAAACTAGCCATTCCTCTTTTCATACTTATAGCTTTCTTATTTCCTAGAACCCAAGGGAGATTAGCTGGTGAAATTAGAGAAACTGACTATTTAGTTTCATATCAGTCACCATTAACGCAACATCCTACCACACCAAGTTCGGTCCAGATATCTGGAAACTGAGTAAAGAGACTGGCCATGAGGGACTCATCTAACAAGAAAATGTAATTAGGTGACAAAAGCTAAGGGAATTGTGAATGAATATTGAAGAAACGCAAGAAGGTCGAAGTATACGCGCTACATTCAATCGAAGGTCAAACCATAGGTCGTTAGGTCTTTACGCGCGGTTGTGTATTGGTTAATTGTTGGTTTTAGTGTATGTAGCCTCCTTCTGACCACACACTGAGAAAACTTTGCTCAAAAATCATGCACGTTAAAGTTTCCTGCCCAATAAATATTGCATTGCTGAAATACTGTACGAAATATTTCAATATAACACATATTTTTTAGGGGGAAAAAGTGATAATCTTAATATCTACCCCGTAACTCCCTCAATAAGTTTAACATTAAATCAATCACAAGTATTAGCGTTTGAAATCTTACACACCATTCAGGTTGGAACAATAACAACTGTATCTATCAGTAGTGAGTTGAAGGAATCACATTTCAAGCTCAATGGAAAGTAAGCAGGTGTATTTTGTTTTAACTTTTTAGAACCAAAAAGTTCCCATCAAGGCTTCTGGATGTTTTAATCATTGGTATGTTTGCATTGCATATTCTTTTATAACTTCGTGTCAGCTCAGCTTCGTGCTAGACTATCAGGGAAAACAATCGTGTCACCATTCGTCTCTTTAGTATCTGATAATAACTTTCCTACTGCTGCTGGACTGGCATCAAGTGCATCTGGAACTGCTGCATTTGGTAAGTTGACGTTGAACAGGTCTTATTGCTGTAGCATTCGCTCTGGGTAAACTTTACGGATTAGATGGTGACTTTTCTGACTTTTCCCGACGTGGTTCTGGTTCTTCTTGTCGTAGTCTGTCTGGAGGATTTATATATTGGCCAACCGTTCGGCCTGATTACAATTCTCACTCCTGTGTCCAGCAGTTGTTCCGTGCATCCCATTGGCCAGAACTTAAACTGTTGATTTGCATTGTAAGTGAGATGTTTTAAAATAAACATGTTTGATTCTTTATTTCAAACGCGTTTAAATACCGGTGATTTTTGGTTGATTTTCATTGATTTAAACTTATACCGTCCTATATCATCATTTTTTTGTAATATGATAACCAGGTTATTTCCATCTTTTCTGAGTTAATCAGTTTTATGCGTGTTCTTCATTTGGGTTAGTTTTTCTTATTCCTTTACGTTCCCCCAGTGGAACGAACATAAAGCGGCTTCAAGCTAGAAGCTTAAAGTCTCAGTAGCAGTGGTGTTTATTTCTACGGGATGGGGTTACTGCAAGCCTCATACTCACCCAACCTTCCCTTTTTACCCTGTTTTTTAATGGCTTAGTGCCAGGTAAATGAGCGCGTCAGTGGTCGGCCGGTGATCGAATCCCGGACCATATGAAGGTGTGGTTAGCGGCGAGAATTCTGCCTACTACTGTGCAACCGATGCACTTTGGATTAGTTAAATGAATATAAAATTTACTGTTTTTTTCTTCTCCACAGCAAGATTTTTCTGACTTACATCAATACATAATTTTAAGTGTCTGAAATAAAAATGCCTCCTAAAATTTTTTATGCACATTAGTCACAGGGTAAAATATAATAGCGTTACGGCATGTGAGCGTTATTAATTGACAGTGGCTCATAAAGAAACGAAATCGATTAAAATGATCTAGTTTCATCAGTGAGTTAAAATGAATTTACACATACATATATCTTAGAATAAAAATGCTCTTACCAGGATACACAAAAGTTTCACGTAGATTTAGCCAAACTAATGAATCACTTACTTTGCTTGAAAGATTCTAATTACTGGTTGAACGTTAGGTTCACTGAGTTAGTGACATTCTATTCCATTCTACTTTAAAGCTGTTAAAGGTGACTATTAAGAGTTGAGTAGCTACACCTACTGAGAAAATATAACCACTGTTGCCTATACGTATTATCTATGTTTGGTGGATTGACTGACAGACTGGTTTCAACGTAGAACTTTGCATCGATCAGCATCAGTTGGAGTTGCCACACTCCATACAGCACAGAACACAAGAGAAGAAAGTACAGAGACAGTAAACAGAGATATGAGGCAAAAAGAATAGTAATATGGAGAAACAATATAGTCTTATTTGACACTATATGTCACAAGGAGTGGATTCATCTGCTCCAGCGCCAGCCATCAGCGAGAACGATCACTTTGAGCCAGCCATATCGTCAATTTTCTCCAGCCTTCATTAGCTTTTACAGTCGCGATGACCCCAACCATCAAGGAAGTCCACATCTTCATACTTGACTGGCTGTCTCGTTGGCTATAACTAACTGTTGTGGATCTCATTGACCACCACCACTGGGTAACTCTTTTCCAACTTGACCTTATGTCGGCTATGTGTTTGGTGGGAAACTTCTTGGAGGATTTTAAAAAAAGATGAGAGAAGTATGTGAAACAAGTATGGAACTGTAAACCTTTATTGACATTCGCGGTACGTGTCGCATATGCCTACAGGCTATATCAACTTAGAAGTCGTAGGATTTGACTGACAAAAGTTAAAGTGTATTCAGACTAATATGTAAAATTACTTCCAGTTTGTTCAATCTATCCATTCTTTATCTTCTTCTTGACTACAATCAATTTTATTAGCTGTATAGATTAAATTTAATCACACTCACCTAACCATCAGTTTAATGATTCCAGACATAAGGTGTCCAGTCGCAGAACAATATAATGTGCCTTTGCGGTCCAATAAATGCAGAAATTTTGAAAAAAATTAATTCGCCTTTATTGTCTCTGTTTTGCATCACTTTATTTACATAATACTGGTTGGGAGTGAAGTGGTAGAGCGTGTTGACCACTTATTTGGGAAGGTGCGTCAACCTAGCCAATGCCAGCGGGTTAATCGCTGACGAAATCCCAGCACGGATACAGGAGGCCCGTCTCGTATATGCCAATTTACGTCGTCTCTGGCTTAGTAGACGTGATATCCGACTGGGCGGATGGCTGGCTGTCGACCAAGGGGCGTATGTACTGCTCAGCAGTAGGCTCCGTCCTCCCTTATGGCTGGCTGGCTGGTTGTGAGACATGGCCATTGAAAGTGGAAGACATAAAAAGCCTTGCTGGCTAGCCAGCTGTCTTTGATCATAGGTGGTGTCTGTGTTCTATCTCCCGTGTTAGGTGGTAGTATAATAGGGTGAGCAATATTGAGGTTAGGCGTCGGTCGAGTGCTAGGCGAGGAGGAGGGGAAATCAATAAACGAGACTGTGAAGTTACATCAATTGAGAGATATGGATAGGAAACGTGTTACGCATGCCTCCCTGCCTAGCCATCTCCTTTCTCGACAATGAGCAATGTTAACCACTGACTGACATAGGATGGATCAGGTTGGAACAGATTTAGCCAGTGGTGGTGGTTAAAGCAAAACATGGCTTCATCATCAGTCAATGAGATCCACAACGGTTAGTTTAAGTCAGCCAACCAGCCAGTCACGTAGGAAGGTGTAGACTTCCTGATTAACTGCCTGGTTGGGATCCTAGGGATGGTGGTGAGAACCAATGAAGGCTGGAGACAATTGGTGTTCAAAGTGATCGTTCACGGTGATGGCTGGCTGGTGCAGATGAATCAACTCCTCGTGAATTATAATATCCACTAAAACTATATTGGTCTTCCACATCACAACTATTCTTTTTGCCTCATATCTCTATTTACTGTCTCTATTTTACATTCCTTTTTACTTTCTTCTCTTGCTCTAAGTGCTACATGGGGGTGAATGTGGCAACTCGAGCTGCTGGACATCTGTGTAAAGTTCTACATTGAAACAAGTCAGTCAGTCATGAGACAATAGTCTTATGTTACCTTTCAACCCGCACAAATATACACACATATTCTACCCGTCATATTCACAATGACCGAGTACCTTAGATTAATTTTCAAGTATTGGTTTTGTGGAGGGATTTTGTTTGATTGATTGGTTGGAGGATTTCATGATGAGCACTGACATTGGTTGGTTAGAGAACCATTGGAAAACCTGCCACGTACGACATAGTGCGACCACTTCGTAATGTCTTCTTTGATGAGTAATTGTACTCACACACCCCGACCTGCTGTACCATAACTAGTCACAGCTTTCCACTAGAGCCCCAGGCAACTAGTTGAATAGGGCCAGTCATGAATTGGCAGAAGTTAGAATTCATGCACTAGTCATTGGATCGGCTCCCAGTGGCTTAATGGTCTTTGAGCTAGCTCACCTTGTAACCAGAGTGTGGTCCTGTGTTGGAACCCTGGTGGTAGGGTGCGTGCGTAATGCTGAAGAACCAGTCCGAAGCACTAGGACGGAGTGAACAGCTAGCTGTCTGGCAGTACTTCCTATGGCAGGTTTTCTAATGGTTCTCTAACTGATATTTTAGATTACGCAATGAGGTATATATTTTATCATGCATGAATTTATTCTTGTTTACCTATTACTCTAATTATTATCCGCTTAATTGAGACACTTGAAATTTAGTTCTACTAAAGCATAATGATATCAAAAATATTTCTGCTTAAAAATTTTAATATTCAAATTGCTACACCTGATAAGAAATGGCACAAAAATATGGTATTTGTTTAAATTAAAGATCCTTCAATTATTATTGTTAATAGGCACATATATTCATTAAAGATACAGAAAAACCAAATGAATTTTGTCATCAAGTATTGCCATTCAACCTCTTATTTACAGTGTGTTCAACTGAAAAGATGAAGAAACAATCGATGACAGATTGTAGATCTTCATCAACTGAGGACAGGAAAGGTTTACTTGTTGTGCATGCTGAGTCACTGCCTTTCTCAATCAGTAAGACTGGCCAGCTGCTGAATGAATATAGCACAGAAGTATAGCAAATCAAGTTACCGAGGGATGGATGACTTCTTCATATATAGCAATAAAGTGAAAACTGTTTGAATAGGATACTCAGGAATGCTGAGGATTGATCAATGCTTAGAAACTGTTGACGACATGACTCCATATAGTTTAAAATGCCGTAGATGTACTGACTCCAAATTTATTGTGTAAAATCCACTAAACTTTATCTAATTATTTCCTTTCCTCTATATATCTTTGTACTGTTAGTTTCAATACACTGTTGTCTTGTTTTCGTTTTAAAAAAATATTTTTACATCTGCTTTCCGACGTATAGTAGCCGTAAATTGACACAGTTTTCTGTGATGTTCTACACAAATACCTCAACCAGTAGTACTGACTAGTCTAATTGACCGGTTGCAACGTAAACTTTGCACCGATGTGCGGCAACAGTTCGAGTCGACACACTTCACTTAGCACACACAGCAGAGAAGAAAGTAAACAGAAATGCAAGACGGAGATAATAAACAGAGATATGAAGCAAAAAGAATAGTAACATGGAAAAACAATGTAGCTTTATTGAGTATTATAAGTCACAAGGAGTGGATGAATCTTTTCCAGCGCCAACTATCACCCAGAACGATCACTATGAGTCAGTCAGTCATATCACCAATTGTCTCCAGCCTACATTGGTTCTCACCACCATCCCGAGGACACAAACCAGTGAGGAAGTCCACAGCTACTACTACGCCTACGATGAAGGAAGGAAGCAATTATAAAACGAAAGTTTCGAGATCGTGTAATTATAATTGATGATACGATTACGAATAATAAATAAATTGTGTTCGAAAGGCGTCGTCATCCAGTAATGAATGATACTGTTTCACTCTGTGTGTAATTATTATAATAATATTATTATTGTTCCTTTGAGTTCCGAATATAGGGCTAGTTTCAACAACACATCTCCACTTTGTTCTATTTTCTGCCGTCCTCTTCAGCTGACTAGTCTCACGATTCCCAAACACTCTCATCTCTTCCTCACATGATCTCCTCCTTAGGACGACCCGCTCGTCGTGTGATATATCTAATAAACAAACCAATATGGAATTAAATAACTACACAGTGCCGAAGTCCTACACATACGATACAAAGAAAGGTG